CTTTCAACAGGAATTTTCCTGATCCGTGTGCAAGCCAGGGCAGAAACACATACTGGAATAGCAGGCTGGTATTTAACAGCGGGCTTCAGAGGCAGAGTTGGACTCCAGTCGTTTGCGCAGGTGATAGGCAAAATCCATCTGGGTCTGCGATAAGACTTGGTTGATGATACTCTTTGGCAGCCACCCCTGGAGAAGATAAGAGAATTTGGTCATCTTCTGGGTGGTGTGCTATTCCAGACACCTTGCACTCTATCACACACATGGGCTGCCTGGAACTTCATCTTCCAACTCTGTCTATAGGTGCAACCTTGGAAATGACCAGGGTCAAAGGATGGACTACTTTGGTGCCTTATTGTCATCACAGTGTCAGAAGCACAGGATTTGCTGTCAAGACAGATATTAAGTTCTGTCTTCCCAACAGTTTTATTTTTTTTGATACAGGGTCTTGCTAAGTTGCTTAGGACCTCACTAAGTTGCTGAGGCTGGCCTTGAACTTGCAATCCTCTTACCTTAGTCTCCTGAGTTGCTGGGATTATAGGTGTGTGTTACTATGCCCTATGCCCTGCCTAAATTTCCTTCTCTCTAAAATGATGTTACTATACAATTGAAATTTGATAAGCGTCAGCCACTGCAGATTTTGAGATGGTAGGATAGCATATGGGCCATCACTCAAGTCCCTTCCTAAGCAACTGTACTATCAAAAATGGAAGAGGCTTCTTTCTGTTATTATATGATTGGGAAGAGCTCACTTTCCTTACTATCTCTAGCCCTGAATCAACTCCCATACCCCTCACCTTGAGGTCAATACTGAGCAGCCAGGTGAGTTTGGTCTTGGAGGGACTTCCAGCCAGCGGATGAAGCACCATGCAAGTGGGACCTTGTTCAGCTCTGGTAAATGAAAAGTCAACCAGGAGATGAATCAGTTCGTTCTTATGCTGACTATACTAGTCCCATTTCTGGAGTACCTTGTCTTTTTTTCTAATTCTCAGCAGGAAATACCCTTCTTCAAGGGTACTGACTTAACAGTTGATGTGGTTACTAACTCTTTAGAACAAGTTGGTTGTAGCTGAAGCAGAACCTGGAGGCCTCCTATTGTACTTGTACCCTTTGGTGGCCAGACTGCAGGGAGGTCAAGGAAAGAACGCAGGGTGGTAGTATCATTAAGAAATTTAGGTGTCTATGGTGTTCTTTGGGGTGTGAATTATTTCAATATTTTAACCTCCAGTACCTACATACTTTAGAATACCAGCTGAACCTCAGTCTTACCCCTTGCTTTGGAAAATATTATATTAAGGTTCAGAGACTGGAAAGATCAAATAAACTGGTTAGCTGTTGACATAGGGCCAATCTTGTCTTTTTCCCTCTCTTTGCGAATCTTATAAAAGGAAATTGAGGTTGGGGACCAAGGATTAATTTATTGGAATTGTGGAGATTCACTCCATCACATATTAAAGTGAATGCCCATCAGCCTGTGTAAGAGGGAAAGGAATTTTGGACGTGTTTGTTTTTGCAGTGCTGGGGATTTAACCCAAGGCCTTATGCTTGCCAGACGAGCACTCTACCCACTAAGCTATATCCCCAGCCAGAGGAAAGGATCTTGAGGCTACTGCTAGTATTACCTGATAACACCTTTCTGCTCAGGCATCTCCCCAAAGTGTGTGGCTATGCCAGCTAGAACACAGGTAGAGCCTCTGCGTTTGGCACAACGCACATTCACAAAGTCACGGGGCCCCACGAGGTTTCCTGCTGCTTCTGCTGCCAACTCATGGGTAATAACTGTATCTTTTCCAATCTTCTGCAAGACCTACCAATCCATAAGGGAACCAGAATCATTAATTAGCTATAGCTGAGGCTAAGCACCACCCACAGCTTGGGAACCTTTTTTTGGCCCACATTTCAGACTGGGCCCTATTAGGTCCCTGCCACCCATACCTGGGTTTCCCTCACCTTGATCTCCTTGACATTTGGGTTCCACTCTCCCGTCGCCTCCATGCGTTCCACAAGTTCTTCATAGAGCCTCTCCATGGGTTGGTCTACTACCACCTCCAGCCGGAACACCTTGCCTACATCTGGAACCACCTTACTCAACACTTTGTCTCCATTTGCCTGCCAGAGAAAGTAGGTAGAGGTTAGAGTCTAAGTCGCAAGTTATATCAGGCAAGAAAGGGAGGGGATCAGCAAAAGGAAGTCCAAGCTAAGCGCAAGGATACCTACCTGGACTGCTATCAGGCCTGGATAAAGATGTAATCCCTGGTTCCACAAACTACACAACTGCCGGAGGCTGGAACAGGTTGCCTGCCTGCAGCCCTCTTCCCTCTTTTCTTTTTTGGTACTGGGAACTGAACCCAGGACTGTACCACTGAGCTACACCCTCATCTGTGTGTTTTTTTTGTTTTGTTTTTTTTAAGTCTGAGTTGGACGCAATACCTTTATTTTATTTATTTTTATGTAGCACTAAGGATCAAACCCAGGGCCTTGCACGTGCTAGGCTAATGTTCTACTGTTGAGCCCCACCCCAGCACCCACCCCCCCAAATCCTTTTTTTTTTTTTTGAGACAGGGTCTTATTAAGTTGCTTAGGGCCTCGCTAAGTTTCTGAGGCAGGCTTCAGACTTGTGATTTTCCTCCCTAGTTGCTGGAATTATAAGTATGCACCACAGTGATTAGTTGACACCCCTCCCTTTTTTTTTTTTTTTTTTAGATGGAAGTGAATGTTGGCTAGGTCCAATTGACTTCAGAAGCTCAAAGATCCTGAAAGACCTAGGAGTGGAAAAAGTCTATGGCCAGTCATATATATGCAGTTTTGAGTGGGGTTTTCAGATTTTTTAGTTCAATATCTTGTTTTAGATGTTAGCTTGGTTTAGTCATTACACAATGTAAATATCAAAACAGATTAAGAAAGTTGACCATGGTTAAATATCAAATTATATACCTGAGATTTGAATCTCAAAATATTTAAAACCAAATTCAGTGGTCTAATGGTTCAATCCTTACAATGACAGTGTGACTTCCCAATATTTGAATCTACCAACCCTGATGGAAACTGTAGTGGTAAATTTTTCATTACTTAGTTAAGTATCTTGTTTTCACACCAGAACGATGTGGGGCCAGAGGTCAGTGAACCCCTAGCTAAGAGTAGTGCTAAGCCTAGATCCCAGACCCCAGGTTTCTTTTTTTTTTTTCTCTTGTACTGGGTGTTGAACCCAGGAATTCTTCACCACTGAATTGCATTCCCAATCCTTCTCATTTTGAGAGTGGGTCTTGCTAAATTGCTGGGGGTCTTGCTAAGCTACTGAGGCTGGCTGCAAACTTGAAATACTCCTGCTTTGGTCTCTTGAATTGCTGAGATTATAGGCATGTACCATGGGGTCCAGCAGATCCCAGGTTTTTTTTTTTTTTTTTAAGTTAAGTGGATCTTGTATTTCGTTTATTTATTCATATATGGTGCTGAGGATCAAACCAAGGGCCTCACACATGCCAGGCAAGTACTCTACCACTAGGCCACAACTTCATCCGGATCCCGGGTTTCTTGACTCTCAATCTATTAGCCTCTTATCTACATTATTCTGAGAACTTGAGCAAGGAGAGGTTTCACCTGAACCTTGAGTCATGGGTAGCATGTCAGCTTTTGCTGAAGATAAAGCCACCAAGGTCTCCAGTGATAGAGCCACTGGACTTTAACACAAGCCTTGTTACTGATTGGCTTCCAGTTAGGGTGCTGTGCTCAGCAGAGAACTCCAGACAACTAGTCCAGCCCACATTATCCCTGCAAGCTCATTAACATTAAAGATTCTGATTCCTCTAATGCACAGCCAGTCCCTGCTGCATGGTTTTTCTAAATGGGTGTATATGTATTTGGAGGGTAGCTAAGAATATAAGGATAATGTTTCAAAAAATGAGTATTATGAGGAGAGAAGGTTATCTAAGGACATTCTTGGAAAAGGAGAAATCTCAAAACTACTTACTGCCCAGTAACTATTGCATGAAACAGGAAACCTGGGAGCAGTGGCCCCAGCTCGTTTCAAGGATGGTAGTGAAACAATAAGGAACTGCAAAACCACCCTTACCTGCTGGGTTTCCTTCTTCCAACCCTCCTGGTTGCTGAGAATGCCCAGGGCCTTCTGCATGGCTTCCTCTCCCTGCTGGATATAGGCCAGCTCTTGGTCACTTATCTCTTCCAAACAAGAACCTGGATATATAGCCAAGGGGGGAGAGAGAATCCTTTCAGTGTCCCAGCCTCCCACCAAGTTAGCATCCTTTTGATTTCTGGATATGCTTTTTTCTTGAAGAACCAAGACTAAAGCCAGAGGGTCCCATCTGGTGACCAGCAGGGGATCTGGTCTTGAGAAACTCCGGGATGGGAATATTCTCTCATAGTGGGAAAGGGTAGGAGGGCATCAGAGCCCCATGCACATTTTCACCTTGGGGGCCTCTTCCACTGACAGAAGCCCAAGGAGCCTCAACACTTACCAAGCAGAGAACTCCGACGCCGAACTTGGTTAATCCACACATTGGAGGTAGGGTTCCCCAGTGTTCTCCTCAGTTCTTGGCCAATGGCCAGAGCAGCTTGGTGTCTCAGCCCTACAGGGAGGGAAGGAAATTGTTGCCAAGGAGCTGGAAAGCCCCTTAGGGAGGCACCATTCCACCCCGACCCTCCATTTTTCACAGACAATGAAATTGTCTTGGAGATCCAGTGACTTGATCAGAAACGCAGATTCCTAGTAGAGAACTGAACTAGGGCCAGGTCTTCAATGCATAATTCAGTAATTATACTTCAGGGCCCAGAAATCTACTTTCCATCTGGGGTAGTCAAGCTTGGCCTTGTCAAGACAGGCTGTATACCAGAGCATCTGGAGAATATTTGTTTAATCAGAAAAATCCAGCTACAGGAGAATACAAGAAACCCATCCCCTGGCCAGGTGTGGTGATTCCCGCCTATAATCTCAGTGGCTCAGGAGGATCTGGAGTTCAAAGCCAGCCTCAGCAAAAAGCAAGACACTAATGGGGCTGGGGTTGTGGCTCAGTGGTAGAGCACTCAACCTAGCATGTGTGAGGTCTTAGGTTCACTCCTCAGCACCACATAAATAAATGTATTCTGTCCATCTACAACTAAAAAATATTAAAAAAAAAAAAAAAAAGCAAGGCACTAAGCAACTCAGTGAGACCCTGTCTCAAAATACAAAATAGGGCTAGGGATGTGGCTCAGTGGTTGAGTGCCCCTGAGTTCAATCCCTGGTACTTGAAAAAAAAAAAAAGAAAAGAAACTCATCCCTTGATATCTGATGTCTGTGTACTTACTAGCAGATAGGACCCTTTTCATGAGGATGCTGCTTTGGGTGCCACCAGATTAGATTGTGAGCCAGGTAAATCCAGTCAATTTAGTGAGGGCAGCCCCACTTTGGGCTGCAGGGCTTTTAAGCAGTTTCCAACCTAATTCAACTCAGGATGAGTTGAAAGGTCTCCTCTACATAGGCTTGTGTGACCTTCCATGGCAGCAGGGGATTTTTAATTTTGTTTGTTTGGTTCTTCCTGGCTGTATAATGATAACAAGACTGACATGACCTCCCCCGTCCCTTCTAACTTCTCTCTTTACCTCACTCTTCTGCTGTCTTACTTCTCATGTCCCTTCCCTGATAGAGTCTCAGGCTTACCAACATTGCTTTCTGGAATCAAGATTTATTTCTGCCTCTACCACTGTGGCCAAGACTTTTCTGGTACCCTTGATATAAGCCAGAAGGAAGGCATAGTCAGGAATAATTGAAGCTAGTTGCATAAGTGCACGCCAATAATCCCCGCTGTTTGGAAGGCTGAGGCAGAAGAATTGTGAGTTTGAGGCTGGCTTGGGCAATTTAGCAAGACCTAGTTTCAATTAAAAAGTGGGGGGTGGGGTGGGGGGGTGCTGAGGATGTAGTTCAGTATACTGCTTAGCATGTTTGAGGCCCTAGCTTCAATGCCTAGTACCAGCAAGGAAAAAACAAAAGTAGTTCAAGAACAATGAGAGCCCTGGAGGGAAAACTAGAAATTACAGAATCTGGGCAGGACATCTAGTCCAATTCTTCAGGTGGGACAACAGGTCTAGAGGGGGAAGAAATTTGCCCAGGCTCACTCAGTAAGAGGCACAACTGGGATCAGAGCCTTGGTGGTCTTTTTCCCTCTTCATGCCCCTCTCCATTATTTTTCTTACTAACCAAGTTGCCTAAGAGCTTTTGGTAGGCGCCTTATGCCTTCTGCCCCTGGGGACTCACCCTTCATGTTGCGCATGTATCTGTAGGAGCTTCCAGCACACAGCTTGAAAGTTGCTAGTAGCATTGTTTTCTGGCAGATGTAGCAGTGCTGATGCTGCCGCCACCTCTGCTCTCAAAGGTGGCTTTTTGTTCCTCCACCTCTGGGTCCTGCAGCTGCAGCCTGGACCATTTGTTCTGTGCCTTAAATGCCTCCGGCTGAAGGCTGTGCTTCATCATCAGGAGATAAGAAAAAGCCATCACTCACTGTGCAGAGGACAGGGTCAAGGATACAGCGATTGCCTCATGCTGCTGCTCTGGTCATTGCTGGGGAGCGTTGGGGGGGAGTAGAGTACGCAAAAGGGAGTGGAGAGATTGGTGCCAGATTCAGTGGATGGAAGGGAAAACAGGTGGTTGAGATGGGGCAACTTACAATAGGACACACAGTGCTCAAAAGTTTTTAAAAGTGCTGTGAAGCCCTTCTGACTCGCAATTCAATAGGTCTGGAATTGAGGCAAAAAAATGTGCCCTGGCGATTGTAGAACAGGTATGTGGTGGACTGCCCACTGCACTTTGAGAAACACTGAGAGAGTGGACCTGGGAATCTTCCAAGAGAACAGCACAAGTCAAAGCTGCTGGAGACTAGACTCCTGTTCTTAACAGATGAGAAGTTTGAGTCCAGAGGGCAGAAATGACTTGTGCAAGGTCAAACAGCTGGCCAGCAGCAGGACTGGGAGCATAACCCAAGTCTTCTGGCCTTTGAACATCTGTACATGCTTCCTTCTGTGCCCCCCCCCTGCATTCAGCTGTTCATTTTTTTGTTTATCCATTGATAGTTCCCACCTCTGCAATCCCTATTCTGAGTTATGCTAGAACAAGGATGACACCTTGGGCTGAGTGGGGGTTTCAGCGTGTAAGTTCCCAAAGCAGAGAGTAACCTGCACCTGGGCCACACCCTGCCCTCTTTCTCATGCTTCCCCTGAGCAGCTGAGGCTGGGCAAGCTGTGCTGTGTGGCTTGGAATGTGGAATGTGCAGAAAGATGGGATGTTTGTCCCAGTTTTCATAAACATTTTTTTGGGGACTGTGATGCTAAGCAAGGACTCACGGGACCCCAAGTTGCCTCTGCTGGGCCACACACCATCACTCAGCACAGTGAGGGAGATTCTCTCCAAGCCTGTATGCTGCTGATAAAATCTTTTCCCTTCAAGGGTGACCATAAGGCTGCTATTAAGCCAGATTCACCTGGTAAGAATACTGTGAATAGAAAGACTCACACTAGATTTGCCCCTGGCTTAGGCCCTACCTCCCTTGAGAGAGTTCTATATCCTGTCACCACTGCTCAGAGGCAGGAGAGAGCCTAAAAGCAGAAGCAGCAGCTCCAGTAGATCCACTGTCCCCATCTGCCTTACTGTAGAGAATGATAAGGCAAGATCTGCCCAGATTTCAACTGTGATGAAGTGGTAGGAGAGGTCCTATGAGCGGTGGCTGGCTGGCAGCACCCACCCCATTTCTCAAGGCCCATTGCAGCCCCTCCTTCTCTGCTAAGCCTCCTTTAAGCACCCCAACCTTCAAGAATGGTTCATTCCTGTGGTGCACACCACAGGAGGGAATGACTGAGACATCATTGTTTGCTTGTTTTCTCTGTGGAATTGTTATCCCAGAGGCAGGCACCATGTCCACTTCCCCATTCAGATCCTACCCCTGGTCCTAGCACTCAGCTCCAGGGTAGACAAAGAGTAGATTATTGCTTCTCTGTTAAGTGACCAATTGGGGAAGCAGCTAGCAGCACAGGTGCATCTGTCCTGCGTGGGAGGCAAACACTCTGCCAACTGAGCTATAGCCCCAGCCCCAAGTGCATCTTTTGATTTAGGAAACCTGCCTTGGAGGCATTGTTTCCTTGAAAAGTTTCAGGGAAGCTGTTTGTCTCCATCTTGGTCTCAGGCTGTCTGCCTTTCAAAGGAAAGATGCAGAGAGTGTGCTGGGCAGGCTGGAGGGCCAATACCCCCAGCTTCTCTCTATTCACCACTCAGTACACGTGCAGCCTCATGCACACGTTTGCCTTCCGTCAGGGGAGGTGGTGGGGAGTGGGAAGGGGGTTATGGAATAGGCCACGCAGATAATGTTCAAGGCCCTGCTGTTGCCATCCTGTGAAGAATTATGGTCATTTTGAGGAAGGAGGAGGTGGTGTGGGGAGGCTGGAGCACTGAGGCCTATAACTGTTGCTGATGTCAGAGGTTGCCATTGACTCAGGGAGGGCGGGCTGAGTGACCTCCCCCAGTGCCAAGGCCCTCTTCCTCTCTTCATCCTTTCCAAGCCAAATGACTAGTTAACTCTTGCTGTCCCTCCAAACAGTAAGATGGGGAGGGAGGCCTAGGAATCTCCTCTGCTTCTGGAAATCACTTGAATCCAGTTCTGCCTTTGGATGAGGGCAGAGCTTCCCAGGAAGCTCAGAGCAACACAGCAGATCAGAAAGGAGGACAGCCAGAGACCTGGCTTAATGTAAAGTGCCCAGGTGGAAGACACCAGGGCCAAGGGGGAGAAGCAGGGCTTTGGAACAAAAAAGGGGATTCCCTCATTCATTCAGTCAATAATCCTATATTGAACGTCCACAATGTAGCTCTACAATGAGGACCCTATGAATTGGACCTTATGATCCAGCATGAATAATTGTACTGCAGATAAGCTGTTTGTGAAGTACCTAATTCCAGGAGGAAGGGAGAAGTACAATGGAAGGCTTCTGGGAAGAAATGACGTTTGAGTTGAGTCTGGAAAGTATGATTAATAGCCAGGTTTATGCTGTGGGTTGTAGATAGAGGGTACAAATGTGAACTTTATATGGATCTTTTTTTAATATTTTTTGTTATAGGTGAACATAATATCTTTATTTTTTTATATTTTTATGTGGTGCTGAGGATTGAACCCAGTGCCTCACACATGGTAGGTGAGCGCTTTACCTCTGAGCCACAACCCTAGCCCCTACATGGATCTTTAAACTCTATGAGGGTGGGGATCATTTCCTACCAGTTTTTAAATCCCTAGTGCTTAGCATAATGCAGTTTAATTAATAGCTACTATATACATGTTTAGTAAATGTTTGAAAAGCAATGAAACTGACACTTTGTAGATTTTCAAGAGATCCTGGTATTCTTTTATTTTTAAAGGGTGGCCAGCTTGGAGATGAGAGTGAATCCTGGACTATATGCAGGCTCCATGCCTATTTAATATTAGAAGAATGGAGGGCTTCCCAAAGGAGTCACTTCGAAAAGGCAGCAGAGTTCAGGCAAATCAATAAGGAGTGTTACTTCAGGCTTGAGATAATTAAGGGTTACCTGCCCCCATATAGTATATTTTCCTGCATTTCAGCTTTTACATTCCTTAATTTAAGTTGGTCTCCAGTATTTCACAGGTATCATCCTTATTTGCAGAAAGGAGGCTGAAAGTTCACTGAAAGCAGGGAATGTCCCAGTACATCCTAGGAGTCTGGCAAGACCTGGGGACTATGCAGATCATGAAAGTGAACGCTGAACACTCTTTCTGACTGAGGCACTATGTTGAGGGATGGGAGTGCTGGTGATTGAACCCAGGTCCTTGAGCATGCTCCACCACTGAGCCACACCCAGCCATGCCAGGCTCTATTCTAAACTCTTCACACACATATATAAACTCATTTGTTCCTTGCAAAAACCCAGGAAGTTGGTACTATTATTACGTTTTGGGGGGTACTGGGGATTGAACCCAGGAGCACTTTACCACTGAGCTATATAGCACCAGCCCTTTTTTATTTTGGAGATGAGGTCTTGCTAAGTTGCTTAGGGACTCACTAGGTTGCTAGGTTGGCCTTGAACTCATGATCCTTCTACCTCAGCCTCCAAGTCACTGGGATTATAGGAATGTTGCACCACCCTTGGCTTATTACTCCTACTTTATAGATGATGAAAGCAAGGCACTGAGAGGCTATACAACTTGGCCAAGTTCAAAGAGCTAAAAGAGAAGGAACTAGGATGCAGAACCAGGCTCTAGTCTGTGCTCTTGGTTATACTGTTTAACTTTTTGAAATCATGTTTCTCTTTCTAAAAAGTAGGGCTAATAGTAGCTTCTCATGGAATATGCTTGGCTAGCATATAATGGTCTCTCAGCTAATTTTAAAATGGTTGGGGACTCACTCAACTATTAATTTATGTTAGAGTCCCCTGTCTCCCACTTCATAGACCATTTCAAGCAGATAAGCTAGACTTCAGATTTCCTTTTCCAGAGATTTTGGTAGAAGATTTCGGTCTTTTGTAATGGCCTAGACCAGAAGAGCAAACTTGTGACCTAAGAAAAATTTGAATTAGCTGCCCACATACACCACAGACACAGAAAACAGAGCAGTGCTTTTCTAGGGGCTAGAAAAGGAAGGAAGGAGTTAAGTATAGTGGGCAAGGATGTGTGAAAATATTCTCTGGATGACAATAGTGGTTACCTAGCTGCAGTCAGTTAAACTTTTTTGGTGTTGGAACTATACACTAAAAAGAGTGAATTTGGGCTGGGGTTGAGGCTCAGTGGTAGAGCGCTTGCCTAGCATATGTGAGGCACTGGGTTCGATTCTTAACACCACATATAAATAAATGAATAAAATAAAGGCCCATCAATAGCTAAAAAAATACGAAGAGTGAATTTTACAGCATGTAAATTATAACTTAATAAACCTGACCAGGAAAAAAACTTGGGTCTTAGAATTAGTTTCACAGACCATCTGGATTCTTGACCTTGAGATCTGCCCAGCTTACAGCCCTCTTTCTTCCACTTGGCCCCAGCTACTGGTTGCTTAGGCCTTGACACACCACTCAGTTCTCATATTTTCAAAGCAAGAATATTTGAGGCTACTTTCCTCCCTGGTTTTGGCCAAATGGCAGCAACCACTGCTGAGTGGCTGGAGTTAGGCCTTTGGTGGTAGTGGGGGATGGTCATGGGTAAGGACAACTGTAGAAGGACTATGGGAAGAAGAGAGGCAAAATAATGAAGTGAGATGGGAGAAGAGAAAAGAAGTACTTGGTTTTATTGTTTCCCAGTAACTCTGGCAGAACCTGGGGGTTATACAGGCAGGGAATCCTCTCCACGGTAGACTGACATGAGCTTT